CACACACACACACACACACACACACACACACACAGAAATATAAATCTAATAAGAAATTGTGCTGCTGTTATTATGTTAATTTACTAACTGTTTTTATACAGTTATGTGCAATTTTTAAGTTGTAAGTGGAATGTTGCTCTTGATCAGTTTCCCTTTTTCTGCCCGTAGGATGGTTTGATATTGATGAAAATAAAAACACGAATGTCTACGTGTCAGGTTAGTATCACCTACATATCCTTCTTCTGAATGCCAAGAAGCTGGCGTCCCATAAAGTACCTGACTCTGTTTATCACGTGGCGCTCTCTTGCTCTAATCTTTCTCTCCTGGTCTTCTTCTCAGGCCTGCCTCCTGACATCAGCTCCGAGGAGTTTGCAGAGCTGATGTCAAAGTGTGGGATTGTAATGAGGGACCCCATCACCGAAGAGTACAAAGTCAAACTTTACAAAGACAAAGAAGGAAATCTGAAGGGAGATGGTCTTTGCTGCTATCTAAAGGTTAGTCTGTCCTGCTCGGTCAATGCCCCAGACACGCACCATAACTGTGCAAATGTTGTCACTTAATATTGGCAATATTGGCCATAGAGGGTGCCATAGAATACGTGGAGCACAACGTTATTTGTAGTCCTCTTGTTGAGTGGATAGACAAATCTCCTGCTCTTGCTTTCTTTACTCTGGTCAAATGACTGTGTGTACTTGTTTGTGGTTCTCTGCAGAAGGAGTCTGTGGATCTGGCTATACGCCTGATTGATGAGTCAGAGGTCCGAGGTTATAAACTGCATGTGGAAGCAGCACGGTTTGAGCTGAAGGGGCAGTATGACGCCAGCAAAAAGAAGAAGAAAAGCAAAGATTATAAGAAGAAGCTACAGCAGCAGCAGAAGTAAATTCTGTTTTCTGTTCTCATCTGTTTATTTCTGTGTAGCAGGAATGAACTCCTCAGTAGAAGCACTACTGGCCCCTGTTTCTTTATTCTTTGTTTTGTTTTGTAGACAGTTGGATTGGAGGCCAGAGAAAAAAGGAGACGCGAGGAAGAGGCATGAAAAAGTTGTCATCATCAGGAATATGTTCCATCCCAGTGACTTTGAGGTATGAGAGGAACACACACACACACACACACACACACACACACACACACACACACACACACACACACACACACACAGCATTGTGCATTAATCTCTTTGCTCTCTGTAGGAGGACCCACTGGTGCTGAATGAGTATCGTGAGGATCTGCGGAGTGAGTGTGAGAAGTTTGGGGAAGTTAAGAAGGTCATCCTCTTTGATGTGAGTTTGATTTCTGTATTTTGAAGGTCGTGGTAGGAAATTAGCTAAGAAAAAGTTGAGATGAAGTGGATGTGTGGCTGTATTTGTGCTGCAGAGACACCCGGACGGCGTGGCATCAGTTGCTTTTAAGGAGCCTGAGGAAGCTGATGCGTGTATTCTGTCGTTCAACGGGCGCTGGTTTGGAGGAAGGCAGCTATCTGCTCAGCTTTGGGATGGAACGACAGACTATCAGGTAAATAAAGACAACAGAAATATTGAGGTTTTGGGGGTCTTGGTGATTCACAGTCAAAAGCAGTAATACCTAGCCTGTCATATAATTAGCTCCCTGACAAGTTGGAGTAAGTTTCACAATTTCTAAGTGACATTTTGGTTCCTGCATGAAATGAAATCTGCGAAAGTTTTAATTGTTCCAAGGGACAGATTTCAGAGTCTGCTTCGTTTTCTGTGCTTCTGTTTGCAGTTAAAGCTTTACTTGGTTGTTCTTTCACTTTCATTTATCAGTTAAAGGAGATCCACTGAGCTTTTCTGACAGCTGTAATTGTCTTTAGCATTCTGTTGTACAGTTCAACATGTGCTTTGTGCCTGAAAGTTAGTACATCTTTTTTTTTTTACTGTAGTTCATGTACATTATTGTCACTTTTTTGGGTGCTAGCAGCACTTTATTGCATGAGGTGCTGATTAAATTTTAGGGAACATATTTATTTTATTTTAAATGTATTTTTTTAAAAGAATCTTTTGTAATTGTCCTGTTTCATGACCCAGTTTAAGGCCAAATTTAACAATCAGACAGATAGCCTGACATGTATCTCTAGAATAATTTGGTACACAGAGGAGTTCATGGTAGACTCAGTGATTGCACGGTGTCCCATTTGGTATTTATTTAAGTAAAACAGGTTATATTTGAATTATTTTGATACGTTAGACTGCCTTAGACTCTACACGTGGTAATATCTCTCGCCTTTCATGTTCTGTACATGCAGGTAGAAGAGACGACACGCGAGCGAGAGGAGCGGCTGAAGGGTTGGTCACAGTTTTTGGAGGGTGGAGAAGGAGAACAGCAGAAGGACTCCAAGCCTGCAGAGAGCAGCACAGCGACAGAACCTAGCGAGCCCTCCAGCACCACTGAGCCAGAGCAGCAACCCAAATCAGAACCGCAGTCCTCAGAGGAGCAACAGGAGGAGGAAGTGGACTCCACTGACAGCAGCCTAGCAGGAAGTGAGGATGAGGAAGCTTAGATACTCTCATCCTCCTTTTATGGCCCTGTGTCAACCAACTAGGATGTCCTGCTTAAAGTGAACTTTGGGAAAACTTCCTGTTGAGAAAGGGAGGAGGAATTTGGACAGTTTAAGCTGTTTTGTAATGTAGAAAATAAAACTAATTTTCTCTAACCTATTTTCATCATTGTGGTTCACCCTGTAATTAGACATGCACTCAACCAGCTTGCTACACCTTACAGTGCTCCCATAATTCAGTGCAGTTTGCTGACACTATGCATTATGCTGACAAAGCTAAATATTAATGACAAAACACAAGAGAGACTGAAACTTTGTTGGATATGAATGTGTTTGTCTTCATTATGTTTTTCATTTTATTTCACATTTGCTTTGTTTCGTTCTTTAATCACTGACAATTTTCCGAGCAGTATTGGAACATAAAATAATCACATGATGGAAATGTGAGATTGCAAAGGGAGAAGCAATCAGCGTTTGCACACACTGCAAAAATCATTGAGCAAAAGTTGTAAAGAAAAAACATAAAAATGGCATAAAAATTGAAAAACGGGACTCCTTGTACATTTATTTTACTCAGCCACTTGGTGCAAATTGTAAGGTGTATTTATATTCAGCATATTGCCAAATCTTCACTACAGCTGGCTACTAAAGACATATTTACACTATAAACAACAAAAAGATGATTGCTGGTTCTAAAAAATACTTTTATTAAAGTGATTTTCAAAGACTGAACATTACTCGGCACATCAACGACCTTAATATGAGAGGAATCTTAAAACAAGAACCAGTTAGTGAAGACAACGATGGTGGGACATCTGCTCACCTGCCTCTGTTTAAGAGTCTGATCTGTACTGCTGTGTCTATTTAGTTTGAGACATCTTTGTGAAGACAGGGAGGAGAGTCACAGTTAAAACCAGATAAAGGTAGATGCACTGACAAGTGTTAGAGGAGACACTCATGTCAGAAAGATAGCAGCGATAGATGGGAAGGTTTACAAGATGGTATTGAAGACCTGCTGTGATCTATGGTTTGGTAACGGTGGCACTAATTAAAAGTGACCGGGATGGACATTATTATATCATCGGTGCATTTCAAGTTGAGTGTTTTGGAGGCAAGGCTGAGGTGGTTTGGACATGTGCAGAGGAGGCATGAGGAAGGATCGTTGATGTATTGGACAAAGGGTGTTGAAGATGGAGCTGCCAGGGAGGAGGAAAAGAGGGAGAGCTCAGAGGAGGTTCATGGATGTAGGAGGTCATGGAGAAGGTTAGTGTGACAGAGGAGGATGCTAGGGATAGAGTGGGATGGAGGCCACTGTGGCAACTTCTCAAGGGACAGAAGACAGAGATCAAACCGGAGACATGTTACATGGAAAAATGGCTCTGGAGGATTCCCCGACGTGAGAAGCAAAGGAAGAGCTGCAGAAACATTACGAAAACACAGAAGAAATGTGGCTCACCAAGTAGAAAGAGTGGATAAAAAAGGAGTCCAAGCTGGAGGATGAAACCAAACTCCTGTTACAAAATGCTAAACTATGTCACGTCAGCTGATTTCAGAAGCTGGCCTTAAAAAGTGACAGAGAAAAAGGGCAAAATGAAAAAGGAGAGAGGTTCTTCTGCTCTTTTGATTTCTCCTCAGCCCCATCAATCATTTTAACGCTCCAACTTTTTCTTTTTCGCCACTCTGCCACTTTCCACATGCCCCACTTCCTGTCCATCCTTCCTCCTCTCGTACGCCACCAACCTACGCTCCAGTCCTCTCATCAGCCTTCTTACCCCTTCACCTCTCCTCCCATCATTTAGTAAACTGTTAATATTACAAGTCTAGTCTATTTATTTACTGCAGCTACTTTCCCTGCAGTAAAAAAATTAAATAAAAAGATACTCCCTCCAGTGATGAAAGTCTAGTACAGCATCAGTCTAATAATACAAGGCTTGTGGTAGTTTCCGTCTTCAATCACAGGCTACATAACAAACATGTATTTGACGTAGATCATCTCTAACAAACTGTGGCCACTTTAAATCTTTAAGAATGCAAACTATATTTGTTTAAAGGCACCATCAGCAGTTTGGGAACACACAGGATTATTTTGAGGGAATCATGTGTTTGCTAAGTATTTGCATTGCAGTTACATGTTGTGCACAATATGTTAAACCAAATGTTTCCATTTCCCCCTGTTTTTTAAATTCTTTTTCAGCCCCGAATCACTGTGAAGGTTTTACATAAACCAAACTTTATGCATGGATTTATTAACAGCAACGAGGACAGCATCATACAAACATATTCGTTGTTCTCATCATTTAATCACGGTTAGCGTAGAACGTCTGCGCGCTACTTTGCCTCACCACTAGATGGCACTGTAACCCTGTGGTCGCCTCTGTTAGCGGACTAACCTCATTTATCGTTGCTCTCTCTCAGTTATGTCACGGTGAAACAAAACAGCGCTGCTTCTTTAAAGAAGAGATTTAAAGTTTTGTAAACAGAAACTATTTCCACTGTTTCAAATCTGACATGTAAAATTTTATGTCGGGACTGTAAATCCACTGTGAGACTTACTAAATATGGCTCTCAGACAGTGGTAGTAAATACTGTACACAAGTAAAGCTTTGAGGTAGTTTGTTGTAATTATGCACTCACATACAGCTACTTCATTAGGTACAACTGTTCACTTACTCATAAATATCTAACAAGCCAATTACACTGCAGTGCATTTAGGCATGTAGACTACTGAAGTTCAAATGGGAAAGAAAGGTGATTTAAGTGACTTTGAACATAGCATGCCTGATCTGAGTATTTCAGAATCGGTTAATCTACTGGGATTTTCCTGCACAACCCTGTCTAGGGTTTACAGAGAATGGTATGAAAAAGAGAAAATGTGTATTGTTGATTCAACAGTAGGCATCAGCAACTCAAACAACCACTCGTTACAACTAAGGCATGAAGAAGACCATCTCACCTTCTTAGACCTTGGAGCACATAGGCTGTAGTTCCACTCCTGTCAGCTAAGAACAGGAAACTGAGGCCACAGTTCACACAGTTTCACCAAAACAGGACAAAAGAAGATTGGAAAAATCAAAGCTGATGAGTCACAATTTGGCATAAAAACATGAAAGCATGCATATATCCTGCCTTTTATCAGCGTCTCAAGCTGGTGCTAGTGTAACAGTGCACTTGGTACACTTCACACCCCTTTGTAACAACTGAACATTGTTTAAACACTGAAGCTTACTTGAATATTGGTGCTGACCATCCCCATCGTACTTCACAGTGGGCCCATCGTCTGATGGCTGATTCTAGCAGGATAACTTGTGATGTCACAAAGCTAAAATGATCTCAAACTGGTTTCTTGAACAGGACAATGAGTTCTCTGTGCTCAAAGGGCCTCCACAGTCACCAGATCTTAATCCAATGGAGCACCTCTGGGGTGTGATGGGATGGAAAATTTGGCTCATGGATATGTAGCTGACTAATCTGCCATAACTGTGTGGTGCTATCATTTCAATATGAACCAAAATCTCTGAGGAATATTTCCAGCACCTTGTTGAATCTGTGCTATGAAGAATTAAGGCAACTCTGAAGGGAAAAGGGTTATCCGACATGGTACCAGTAAGTGTCTGGTGAGTGTATCTTCAATTATATTCACTACATTTATTTGTTAACTTTACGTACAAGTTATAAAGTTTATGCATTACTGGGAACTATAGATTAATTAGACAGCACTAGAAAGGTACCTAATAATTACCATTACTTGTTGTTGGTACTGAATAATGAGCGCTTGTGGTTCTTTTGGTGCCTTATTAATTCCTCTATCACTTCTTCATCCTTGTGCATTTGTTTGCATGTGCAGTTGATCTATTTGTGAGAAAATGTGCTGCCTCAGTCTGAGCCAGGTCTCCCTTGTAAATGAGATGCCTGACTCCAGAGGGACTAACCTGGATAAATGAAGTCCTAGAACAGGCCACAAAGCTTGTAATGTACCAGCGAGTGCAGAAAGTTCACCAGGCCAAAAACACAATACTTGATTTTGAACACTGTGTTCTCTTTGTCTCAATAAAGCATGACTGAAACATGTTTTTGTTTTGTTTTTAGAAGTAATAAAACGATGAATGAACAAAGAGGTGCAGACAGGAGATGGCTGTGGATCGCAGCAGAGACAGAGGAGGAAATGGACAAGAGCATGTGAGGGCAGGGCCCGTGTTTGCGAGTGTGTGTGTGTGTTTTCTGTTCCCTCGAGTCCACCCTGGAGATCGCTTGGGAAAAAGACCTCTAGGTCTGACTGAGGTCTGACTTGCAGCCAAGAAAAGCAAGACTAAAATAGAGAGAGAGAGAGTTTAAACCTGAGAATCAAAGAGAGAGCTGGAGGATGGCGAGGGCGTGAGAGGAAGGAGGAGCAAGAGAGATGGAGAAAGAGTGTGAACAAAGAGCTTTGTATCTGAGGAGTAATGTATGGAAAATAAAAACATTCACATGGTGTCACACACACACACACACACACACACACACACACACACACACACACACACACACACACACACACACACACACACACACTGTTGATTGGAACCATATGCTGACAGAGAGAATAATGGGAAACTGTGAATTGTTTGATTTGTTTTTCCTCTTTGTTGCATTGGGACGGGGAGAGGGCAAGATGGAGGAGTTGGAAGGCACCCATGACCGTAGATGATGATCAGCCATGGGAAATTCTGTCCACTGCATTGCATAGACAGGTCCGGTCCATTAACAGCGCGAACAGGAGGGCACTTCCATTAAGTAAAGGAGGAATTTTAGCAGCCGAGTGCCCAAGAAGACATGCAGTCAATTTAAAATCATGATTACAGGGAAATCTTATACCGAGGCTGAGTCATTTAGAAGTCATTTAGGCTGGCATCAACGACAGAAATACAGAATACTTGTTTTTACTGAAGGAAAGCAGTACATGTGACTACACGCAGCCACATTTCGATGGTGAATTAAGCTCTGCAGAGAGCCTGGGAAGTAAGGAAATTAATGCTCTAATATTTTTTTCCTATTTCACCTCAGCTCTTCTTTCCTTTCTCTTTTTTGGGGGTTTTGGTCGAGAAAGTGTGATTGATGAGGCAGGTCGAGCTGAAGACAAACACCTGTTCATGACAGCAAACATGGATCAGAAGCCTGTG